TGTCCACGCCCAGGATTCGAACCAACAAAACACTGGGCCACCTGCAGCGGAGCGTGCGAACTTAACCACTCGGCCACGGGGCCAGCCCCCCGTTTCCTGATTTTGAAGGTGGAAATGTGGTGACTTAGGAGGAAGTCCTTTACTTTGGGAATACTCTGAGGTGTTAAGGGTAACCAGCATTATGGCTGCAACTTACTCACAAATAAACGGTGCAAACGGTGCAGAAACATACACATACAAATACATCTGAAGAGACAGGGACCGCACCTGTTACACGTGTGTATGTGTTACGTGTGTGGACAGAGAACGGTAAGGTACCTGCTGACGGTCGAGGAGGCTGGTGAAGGCACATGGGAGCAATAGGTACTACTTCTGCAGGTGTCTTATTTGAAATTATTAAATGAAATGTTTAAAAAATCAACAAATGTAATTCTTTTTTTTTTTTTAAGATTTTATTTTTTTCCTTTTTTTTCTCCCCAGAGCCCCCCGGTACATAGTTGTATATTCTTTGTTGTGGGTCCTTCTAGGTGTAGCATGTGGGACGCTGCCTCAGCGTGGTTTGATGAGCAGTGCCATGTCCGCGCCCAGGATTCGAACCAACGAAACATTGGGCCTCCTGCAGCGGAGCGCGCGAACTTAACCACACGGCCACAGGGCCAGCCCCTGTAATTCTTCACATTAACAGATTAAATGAAAAAATATGATCATACCAATAGACACAGAAAAGGCACTTAATGGAATCCAGTAGCTGTTCATGATTTATAAAAAAAATAACCCTCAATAGACTAAAATTGGAAGCGAATTCTTTAACCTGATAAAATGCATCTACAAGCATCCTGCACAAAGAGCCATCTTAGCAATGAGGAGGCGAGCCGCTCCGGTGGAGACAGAGGCACAGAGCGCAGGGTCGGGCCTGTGTCAGAAGCCCCAGGGGCAGGAGGAGGCGGGGTACTCTCTGCAGGAAGCACAAAAAAGAAGCAAAAGGAGTAGGAATTGGAGATAAGGAAACAAAACAGTTTTTGCAGTTGATATAACTGCATACTTAGAAAAGTCTAAAGAAGCGAGAGAGAAATATTTAGAGTTAAGTGAGTTTAGCAAGATTGCTTATACAGGGTCAATATGTGGAAATCAATGGTATTGCTACAATTTTCAGCAGTTAGAAAATGAAATATTTATTTGTTTATATTGTTTATAATACCTAGTAATAAATCTTACAAAGGAAGTAAATACCTCTATCCAGAAAACCATAAAATGTTGGCAAATTAAATTAACGATCACCTGAATAAACAGAGAGATGTGTTCATAATTTGGAAGAATCAATATTATAAAGATTTCGATTCTCCTCAAACTCAGCTATAGATTGTATCTAATCCCAAGCAAAATCCCAGCAGTTTTTTACTAATATTTGACAAACTGATTGTAAAGTGTGTATGGAAATGCGAAGGGCCAAGAAGAGTCGAAACCTTCAGGAAGTAGAACAGGACAGCAACACACCCAACACGCAGGAAGGCTTACTGTGAGGTGGAGTAATTAACACCGTGTGGCGTTCACAAAGGGCGGGCAGAAGGGGCAACGGAGCAGAATAAGGCCCCCGACATGGGCCAGGCACGGGTGGACCCCAGGTCTGCAACACGCGGCTTGCAGAGCAGAGAGAAGGACCATCTCAAAAATGGTACTAGGACAACTGGTTGTCCACATGGAGGACAAGAGTCAAAAGTCATAGCACCATGCACTGTGACGAGTGAGCTTTACTAAATGTAAGGTAACATTCCTACTTTTAAAAAGATGAAATTTGACGCCTACTTCACACCCTACACAAAAAAACTCCATGAGACTTGTAATCCTAAATGTGAATAAGAAAGGAAAGGAGGAAAGGAAGGAAGGAAGGAAGGAGGAAAGCTTTATTAAAAGATAATAGATGAGAATATCTTTATGACTTTGAAGTTGGAAAAAATTTTAAATGAGACACAAAAAACAGTAACCATAAAAAGAAAAGGTGGATCAATTGGATTACATGAAATTTAAGAGTTTCTGTTCCTCAAAAGACGCCACTGAGAGGTTGACAAGGCATGTCAAAGAGAGAGAGAAGTCTCCTGTAACCCTTACAAGTAACAAAAGAGTCCCATCCATAATGTGTTAAGAACCCCTACATATTTGTAAGAAAAAAGACACCCAAACGAGAAAAAATAGGAAAGAAACTTGAACAGGATCTTCCCAAATGGTCAATAATGAGATGCCCAACATCTTCAGTCATCAGGGAAATGCAAATTAAAGCCACAATGAGATACCACTACACACCCACCAGAATGGCTAAAATTAAGAAGACTGACCATACCGAGTCTGGACAGAGACCTGAAACAACTGGAACTCTACACTGCTGATGGGAGTGCAAACTGATGCAACCGCTTAGGAAAAGTGTATTACCTATAAAACGGAACATCTGCACGCTCTCACTCAGGAAGTCTGCTTCCAGGTGTGCATCAACAGAAATGTGTGCACACAAGCAACAGAATGGTCATAGAAGCATTATTTGTAATAGTTAAAAACTGGAAACAACCTGTGAAAATTAGTAAAAGAAACCTTAACTAAACTGGATTTCGGGAGGCCTGCAGGGGGAGCTCTCACACCCTATCACACATCGTCAAACACAGTGAGTAGGAGGAGACTGGCGCTTGAATCTCCTACAGGATGTAAAACTATTTCACTACTGAAGGAGCATTTCTCTCCCTACCCGGGAACAGCCCAGCCAATGAGAAATGCCGCATCCCAGCCAATGAGAAACGCTGCATCCCAGCCAATGAGAAATGCCGCAGCCCAGCCAATGACAAACGCCACAGCCCAGCCAATGACAAACGCCACATCCCAGCCAATGGGGAATCGCCGCATCCCAGCCAATGAGAAGCGCCGCATCCCAGCCAATGAGAAACACCGCATCCCAGTCAATGAGAAACGCCGCATCCCAGCCAATGAGAAACACCACAGCCCAGCCAATGAGAAACACCGCATCCCAGCCAATGAGAAACGCCGCATCCCAGCCAATGAGAAACGCCGCATCCCAGCCAATGAGAAACGCTGCATCTCAGCCAATGAGAAATGCCGTATCCCAGCCAACGAGAAGCTGTTGCTGCACTGCTTTCCCCCCAGTGGATTTCCCTGTAGAACAGCCCCTGCCTACTCCTCCTTTTTCTCTATAAAAGCAGCTCCCCTCCTTTGTTTTCCAGATTTGCCTATGGTTTGCCGTAGCACGCACATCCAGAATTGTGATTCTTTTGGCTATTCCCGAGTAAATTCGTTTTGAGGATAAAATAACAGGCAAATTTGCTTTTTAAATTGACAAACCCAATGTCTATCAACAAAAAGAGTGAACAAATAAACTGAGGGTATTTAAACACTGCATTCTGTACAGCAATAAAAATGAGTGAATGACAGCTGCATACAACATGTATGAAGTTCAGAAATATAATGTTGAAAAAAAGAAGCCAGACACAAAAGAACATATGTTGTATGATTACGTAAAGTTCAAAAGATGAAACTACGCTATTGTGTTTAGGGATGCGTGCTTGGGTGTTAAACCACACAGAAAAACAAGAGTGAATCGCATTAGAGCTAGCTCAGGGTTACTTTGATGGGGGGAGTTCCAGGGACGCCGAGAATGGTCGAGTTCCTGTCCTGGGGGTGGTTACGTGGGAGTTCACTTTGGGGGTAACTCACTGAGCTGAGCATGGAGTATTCTGCAGTTTTCTGTATGTGTGCTATATTTCACAATAAAAATGCCCAAAGGGAAAAAAATAAGAAAAATGAAAGAAGGCAAATGATAAATATTTTTAAAGTAATAAAGGAAAATAACTATGAACCTAGAATTCTATATCCAACCAAATTTTCATTCACATGTGGAGGATAATAAAGATTTTCTCAGGCACAAAGGGCCTCAGAAAGTTTGTCACAACAGGATTTACTTGAAATATGTTTGGAGAAAAAAACAGAAACAAATCTAAGAGACTCTTCAAGAGATCTAGGAAGTAAGGATAATAAAAATTTTAGTAAAGTTTATGGTTGTCTTAAAATAAATCTAGAACCACAGAAAATGGAGGGAGAAGAGAAAGAAAATATGGTAGCTGAGAACTAAAATTTTAGATAATATCAATAAGAACTTGGGAGAATAAAGGGCAGGAGAATGTGCTAAAGTGCTTATTTGGTTGGAAAAAGGTAGAGATATGGATAAGTGTAAAAAATCAGCAGTGGTAAATAAACATGAGAATGGCTTTTAAATCAAGAGCAACTATCGTAAGAATAAAAATAAACATATCATATTTAAGCCCACAGAAGAAAACTCAATCTATCCAAGGGAAAGCAGAAAATAAGAAAAAGGAGAAAACAAAGAAAGATAAGATAAAAAATAAAATAGCAGGGGCCAGCCCAGTGGCATAGTGGTTAAATTCGTGTGCTCTGCTTCGGTGGCCTGGGGTTCCCAGGTTCAGATTCCGGGGCACAGACCTACACACCACTCATCAAGCCGTGCTGTGATGGCGTCCCACATACAAAATAGAGGAAGACTGGCATGGATGTTAGCTCAGCCACAATCTTCCTCAAGCAAAAAGAGGGGACTGGCAACAGATATTAGCTCAGGGCCCATCTTCCCCACAAAAAAATAAAATAAAATAAAATAGCAAAGAAGAGTTCTAGTATAATGGTAATTATAATAAGTGTAAATGAATTAAATTAATCAACTAAAACATAGGGATTCTTATGTTGGACTAAAATAAGCCAACAATATGCTGTATTTCAAAAAAGACATGGTTTTCTTTAAAAAAGAGACAGTAAGGTTGAAAAATAAAGGACAGGTAAATATATACTACACAATTATGAACCAAAATAAAGTTCTAATATCATCTCGATATATGACTAAATATACTTTAAGGCAGAAAAATAGCATACAGGACAAGTAATGAAATTATATACTGGTAGAAGGAACAATAAAACAACAAGATATATCTATTATAAACATAAAAATACCTAACAATTTAGCCTCAAAGTATATCAAGCAATAATTAACAGAATTACCAGGGAAAGTGGAGAAATAAACCATTATTTCCATTTTTCATATAAAATACTAAAATTGGCTTTAAGCATGGAGAATTTGTTCCTGAGCATGTAAATATTAAAGAAATTGGAATAATAATCAAGAGCCTCTCCTCCTCACAGCTCCAAGGTCCAGATGGTTCTACCAAATTTCCAAGGAAGTGTTAATTCCTACCTTAACAAGTTATTCCAGAAAATAGATTGCAAAGGCTGCAATGAGATCAATGTAATCTTGATTCCAAAACATAATAATGAAAATACAAAGAAAGAAAGAAAATTATAGACCTATTTCACTTTGAACATAGATATGAAAGTCCTAAATAAAATTTTAGCTAACCAAAACCAACCGGATATTAAAAAGTCAAAACATCATGATCAAATAGGTTTTATCACAGGGAAGCAAGAATGGTTTAACATGGGGAAAGGGTGTTGATGGAATTAATGTAATGTAATTCATTACAATAGAGTAAAGGAGAAAATGATATGTTTGTCTTGACTAATGAAGACAAGGCATCTGATATTTATGATTCTAAAAAAGCTCTTAGGAAAATAAGAGTGGAAGAAAACTTTCTAAAAGTTATAGAAAGTTACCTACCAAAAGCATATAGCAAGCACCGTACTTGATGGAAAGATCTTAGATGCCCACCCTTGAAGACTGAGAATCGGGACAGCCACCCTCACCGCTGCTGACCGGCTAAGCATTAGCAAGGCGGCCAAGATGAAACCACAGTCCTCCCAGCGTCTTCCTACAGCAGCAATAACAAGCAATAAATCTCTTCCTATAGATCCCCTACTGGTTCCCATCCTCTCGTTGAACCCGGATGAAGCACGTGGTAATGAAAGCAACATGGCACTGGTGTGGGAACCACCAGTGAGACAGAAGGGAGGTCAGTTCACAGACGGGAACTGAATATGGAGGAAGCGACAGCACAGATCAATGAGGAAAGAAATGTTTGTCCATAGATGGTGTTGGAAACTGGTTCATTCTATGGAAAAAACCTGGATTCCTACGTAACACCACCTGCAGAGACGGACTCTGGATGGAGTGAAGACCTAAATGTGAAAGAAAAAACTGATCGGAGGGAATCTAGGAGAATATGGATCTAGGAGAGGGAAGTATGTCTTCAAATGTTAATTGTAAAAACTAAGGGGCAAAAAAATCAATTACAGCCATGTATCACTTAACAACGGGGATACATTCTGAGCAATACGTTGTTAGGCAGTTTAGTCCTTGTGCGAACATCACAGAGTGTACTCACACAAACCTACATGGTCCAGCCTACCACACACCCAGGCTCTGTGGCACTAATCTTATGGGACCGCCATCATATACGCAGTCCGTCGCTGACCAAAATATTGTTATGCGGCACATGACTGCATAACAAAATTAAGACTTTCTGTTCGACAAAGGGAAACCGTAAGCAAATTGTTAGATTTTAGATTTTCAGATTTCCAAGATGGAAAAAGTTCTGGCAATCTGTTGCACAATAACGTGAATATACTTAACACTACTGACCTGTACACTTAAAAATGGTTAAGATGGTAAACTTAATGTTATGTGTTTTTTACCACACACACAAAAAAAACTGTCCGTAAAAGAAAAGGAAAACAAAATCTTGGGGATTGTAAATAAAGAATATAGGCAAACCAGAAGACAAAAACTTAGAAGCTCCCAGCTCACAGGCCCCACAACCAACACCACCACAGATCCCAGACCCCAAATCTACCAGAATCCACTGGGCCCAAACCCAGCACTCCTCACCTGCCTTCCCTCGGAAGCCCAGAACCTCTCCACCCAGCAGCAGAAGGGGCCTTTTGGAACGAAGACTAGACCCTGGCCCTGGCCAGTTGTCCCCGCCCCATGCTCAGGAGAAGCCCAAAGTCCCAACCAGGGACCAGAGTCTACAGCCCCACCCCACCTCCTCTCTGAGCTCACCCCACGCAGCCCACTGACAAGCACCCCATTGCCTCTGCCTGGACCACCCTCCTGGGCAGGACACTCAGCATCCTCGCCTCCCCTGGGGCAGGCCTCCTCTGACCACCACCCTTTCCATCACTTCGACCCGACCTAGCATAGCCACAGCCACTGCCCAGTTATACACATTCCTTTATGGTGTTTGCTCTCCCCCAGAGGAGGCGTTTGGCCCTCTGCCCTACCCTGACCCCGGGCTGGCACACATTAGGCACCAGGTGAATCCTGGTTCACATTGATGGATGAGTGGAGGAACAGCCCATCATGGCCACGAAGGGACAGAGAGGAGGACAGCAGCCAGCTGCACTCAGTGCCCAAGACCCTGTGGGGGGACAGGGGAGCGTGGGGATTGAGCACACACTCAAGGCAGGGCCAGAAGCAGGCAGGCGACTTCATGGCTGCTGGCTGCAACCACAGGAGAGGACACAGGGTGGAGGGGGCTGTGGACCAAGGTCGCCAACTGTGCCCCACCACCCAGACTTCTTTCCTAAATGCCGCTGAGAAACACTCCTCTCCACCCGAATCCGGACTTGGGCAGGACACAGGGAACACCCCTCCGGTGTCCGGCAGAGGTGCGGGCTGGAGGGCTGTGGTCCCGACCCGCCTGTGTTCCAGCCAGCCACGCCCCCCAAGCCAGGGTCAGGTCAAGGCCGACCAACACCATGAGGGGACCCTGAACTGAAGGAAGTGGGAAGCCGCCAGGCGGGGTTAAGGTCAGGAGCCAAAGGGACCAGGAAGTTGAAAGAGGACAAGACAGCGGCGTGAGTGCAGGAGACGAGGCGGGGCCCGCGCGGCAGTGCACGTGGATCTCCCTCTGCGGGCTTTTCCTGTCACCCCTGATGCACCCAAAGAAGAGGTGCCGTGTGGGAAGTATGCTGCATGATCCGCGCCCCGCGGCGCGGCCCCCCCACGCCCCCCTCTCCGGGGGCCGCCCGGCTGCAACGACGACGTCACTGCACAAGTGCCAGTCCCTTCCCCATCCGTGCGGCTCGGTTTGGCTTTTTTTTTAACGGCCTCCTTGCGCGTCCTCTTCTGCAGCTTGTCGTGTTTTCTCGAAGACGAAGACTTTCTTCAGTCCCGATCCCAGGAGGCTGCCGGCCGCCCGCATTGCCGACTCTGCCCTCGCGGCGCTCTCTCTGGTCCGCTCTCCCACCGAGGTCAGGGCGCGCTCCACGTTCTGCGCTTCCCAGCGCTGCTCCGAGGCCCCGCGCGCGCTCCCGGCGCCCAAGCGCTTCCCAAGGCGGCGGTTCGAATGCACCCGCCTCTGCCCAGCGCGAGGCCGTCGGCAACCACGGACGCCGGCTCCCAGGGCGCCCCCGCGGGGCTCCCAGGCCATCGCACCCTGCGCGTCCCTGGTCCCTGGTCCCGGGAAAGCCAGCGCTTGACTGACCTAGCTGACTTCCTGTGTCCTCTGCTCTGCAGCGCCTGCCCTTGGGTTCTGCTCGTTCACTCTCCGCTTTTTCACAACTGTAGAGTTCTGTTTTCTCCATGTCAACTCTGCAGGGTACAGACGCTGCAAATAAATTTCCCACTCTGGCTTCTTTTCCTCTTCGTCGCGGTCATGTAATAAACAGTGGTTTCCAGTTTTGACAGAGTCTGTCCTCTCCTAATGGAGCCTGCTGTCCTTAACTCTGCAAGGACATTTGTCTTTGTCTCAGTAGGGAACCCCGTGGGACCCACGCCCGGTCCTCAGGGACACTGACTCGTCCGGAGCAGCCCGGCTGCCGGTGCTGGCCCCAGCTGGGCTCCAGTGTGCATGTGGGCCCTCATCTTTGCGTCTGGGGATGGTGGGCGGGGTCTTAACCCTGGTGTCAGGCCTGTGAACCTGTCACATCACATGCAGAAGGGGACTGAGGGTGCTGACAGAGGCCAGGGACCCCCAGAAGTGGAGGAGAGGCAGGGGAGTGTCAGAGACGGCTGCCTGTGTGAGGACTGGGGGCCCTGCCCACACCCGATTTCAGCCTGGGAGATCATGTGGGACCCCAGGCCACACACCTGCGTGGCTCTAAGCCTGTGCACTCACCCGTTATGGCAACAGTAGAAGCCAAACACCCTGCTCCCCTAGTCCCTGTAGCCTTAGAACGAGCCTGTTGTGGGGCCACCATAGGTGCACCCCACCTCCCACGGGCTTGGCTTCTCGGGGCCTGTTCCGCCCCGTGTATTTCAGAATCAGCAGCTAAAGTCCCGCAGACACGCACACGGACACTCGGGATTTTGCTTGCGACTGTATTGAACCTACAGACCAATCTGAGGAGTGACAGCTCCGTAACTTTGGGTTTCCATTTGGGTTTCTGAAAATCACGTTCCCAAGGACAGGTGGGCGTCCTGGCTGCATGGCGGTCCACAGAAGCAGGGAGATTCAAGCGGACTTGTTTCCAGGTGAGACGGGTCCTGTCCAGCGGGGCGGAGGACAGTCGAGGGCGCAGCAGGGAGGGACGAGCCCCGAGAGGAGCTGAGAGGGGAGCCCAGGGTGTGGAGGAAGGGACTCTGGGCCAGGAAGTCTGGGCACAGGCCCAGAGGCCCTCTGGGGGGCCACCCCATGAGGACAGGATCAGGGATGTGCTCCCGAAAGGGAGAAACTGCTGGCCACTGCCTGGTCCAGCCAGTGCTCCTGAGGCCACTGCAGAGGCAGCACAGGTATATCCCCCCACCCAGGGACAAGAGGCCCAGACCGGCCGAGACAGAGCTGGTGCCGCCCGGTATGAGCTGTCACTCCAGCACATCCCCAGGCAGGCAGGAAAAGCAATGAGAGGATGTTCTAGCAGGGGGGCCCAGGGGACCCAGGGACTGGAAGTGGCCTCAGGCCTGAACTGGCTGGTAGCAGGAGGTTTCCAATGGGCCCCTTCACCTGCCCAGCAGTGAGCGGGTCGGGTTCAACTGCCCTGCAAAGAGGGGAGCCTGGCAAGGGAGGCAGGGCTGAGGCGGCCTGTGCCTGCAGCGGGGAGCGTTGGGAGGCCGAGGCTCCTGGGATGGAGAGGACCCTGTTCTGGCTGCGGGCACATCCCTGGACACAGACGGCTCTTTGTCAGGGCCAAGCCGCCTCGGAAACAAAGACCCCTCTGTCCACAGTGGCCTCCCCCTCACCCCCAGGGCACCACCCCCAGGAAAGGAACAGAGCCCCCTGGGCTCCCATCTGGCACCCCTGCCCACCATACACACAGACACACACACACAGGCACACACACACACCAGGCACACGCATGTGGACACATGCATACACACAGAAACACGTGTGCACACATGCATACACACAGGCACGCACACAGAGACACACACAGACATGCACACAGGCATGCAGACACACACGCCCAGGCATGGCCCAGGCGTGGCTCGAGATGGGAGCCTGAGACGAGGGCTTCAGGGGGCGCCCAGGACCCTGACGCCCACCCTGTGCTGCAGGCCAGGCCTGTCCCCCTAGTACCTGGGCAGCCCGGACCAGCCCAGCTTCAGTCACTAAAACCCAGGGTCCCCTTCCCCTGGGACTGAGCCCAGCCCCCCGAGACCTGAGGGTGGCAGAGGGATGCAGCAGCCTCGCCCCTGCAGGGAGGCCTCCACAACAGTTTCTGAGTCCTCTCTAGACCCAAAAGCCCACAGCCACCACACTGGGTCTGTTATGACCTCCTCACAGAGGACAGACCGTGCCCACCTCTGCCACTGCTGCCCAAGGAGCTGAGCTCCATCCAAAGTAGGGAGAGCCCCAGGGCCCAGAGTGAGTGCACCACCAGGGCTGTCTCTGCATCGTCCCTGCAGCCGCCCGGACTCAGCCAGGCTGCTATGACAGGTGCCCCACATCCCTCAGCATCCAGGCGGCAGGATCCAGATGAAGCCAGGCAGGGCTCCCACCAGCCTGGCCAGCTCCTGCCGACACTGTCCCTGTAGCTGGCGCAGGGCCGCCTCCAGGCAGGCCTCCCGGCTCCTCAGCGCCTTGATCACCTCGGTGGCACGCAGACCCGGGCCGCCCAGTGTCCCAGCCTCACTCCTCACCAGCCGGTGGGGCCCATGAGGCTGGGCCAGGCCTCCACCTCGCTCCCAGGCTCGCTGCAGAGCTGTCAGCTCCTGTCTTACGGCTTCCTCTGAGGCCCGCTGCGTGGCCTTCCACCCTGGCCCCCAGCCTCCAACCTGCACAGGAGAAGATGGTGGCTCATGAGCCCAAGGCAGCCGAGTCCCACCCAGGACACTGGCCCCCTCGGCACTCCCCTCAGTGGCCCCACCCGTTCCCTGAGAAGGACTGAGGGCCCAGATCCCACATCTCCCAGGGAAGCTGGGACCAGCCCCAGCGCCAGCTCCAAGGCCTGGCCCTTCAGGACTCTGCGTCACCCTCACCAAGCCCTGAACCCTAAGCCAGAGACCTTGGGGCCCCAGGGATGGAGTTGACGGCCTGACCACCCCCGAGCCCTCAGGACCACCCGGATCCACGTCAACTACCAGGGAGGAGTGTGGGGAGTGGGCTTGGCTGCTCCCAGCAGGCTGAGGCCCTTGGGGCCATCCAGAGACCAGAGTGCAGTCCCTGGGGACAGCCACCCCCAAGCCCCCCGCCGCTCCTGGGTCGGGCCCAGCCTCCCACCAGCCACCACACTCTGCTGAATCGGCTTCCCACCTTCACCCTGCCCTCCAGGAGGTGAGTGTGGGACGGGGCTGACCCAGGGGGACGCCGGCTGAACCCACCTCTGGCCCTCAGGGCAGGCCTGATCCCAGAGACCCTTAGGCAGCTGGCCCAGTGGGGTGGGGGAGTGAAAAGACACTGTACCCTCGGTGTCCCCAGGGAACCGCCCTGACCCTGACCCTCAGCTGCTCTGCTTGAGGCTCCCAAACAAAGAAGCATCAGTGGCCCTGAGCCACGACAATCACCGGCCTGACTCAACCCGAGGAACCGCCCACAGACATCCACAGAACTTCAGCTGCCACCTCCAGAGAGGGGAGGGCACAGGGCGTGCACAGCCTCAAAGACCTCCAGGAAGCCCCCTGCTCTTCAGGGGCAAACTGGAGACTTTAAGGGGAAAAACCACACTGGAAATTTACTGTAAGATGCTTCAGAAAAGGACGAGAGATGGAGAGAACGTGGCCCACTGCTTACAGCTCGAGCCCTGGTGCTCGCCACTCCGGCCCCAGAGAGGCGGGCGGTGCACGGGCAGGTAGGGCAGACCCACGTGTGTCCCAGCAGGTAAAAGAGCAGACGGGGGTGGACGGGACCTGCTGGAGACAACACCAAGAGCGCCCTGGGAGAACAGACAGGCCTCCAACAGGGCGGCCTGGGGCTGCAAGGGACTCAGGCAGGGGCGGTGGGGGCTCCTCACCACACACCCTCCTGCTCTGCGCGTCTGGCACGTGAGTACACCCCCACCAAACTTAACCAGATTAAACCACGTGAACTCCACAGGCCACTCTGCCCCACCTGCCCCGACTCGGCATCCCCAGGCCCTCACCCTGGCCTCCCAGGCCGCCCGCCGCGTCTCCACCACAGCCTGCAGCTCCTCCTGAAGGGCCTGCAGCTCCCGAGCCACCAGCTCCAACTCGCCAGCACCCCGTTCAGGGATCCTGGGCAGAAACGTGGGCTGTGAGGCCTCTGGGGGGCAGGCGTCCAGGACTGTGTCCTGCAGAGAGAGACCCAAGTGAGTGGGCAGGTGGCCAGCACAGGCCTCACAGCCACAGGCCCAGCTCCCCAGTCAGGGGGGAGAGGTGGGCCAGAGGCCTGGGGCAGTGCCCACCCCCAGGTGGCACAGTGAGGTGGATAACTACCAGCAGCCCTGCAGGCCTGGGGGCCAGGGAGGCACCAAGGCCACGCTTCCGGAAGGCTGAGAGCCCTCAGAAGTCTGGGCCTCCCCAGGAGCTAGGCAGGGTGGGTGGTGGGACAGATGGACATCTGGAAAGAGCCCCAGACTCAGAGCCGGCAGGCCTGGGTGCAGAGCCAGCTTCAGAGCTGGGCGTGTGTGTGGCCTCCCAGTATCTCCTCTTTCTGTCCAGGAAATGGAAAGACTCTTCACCATCACCCCGGGGCTGCTGTGGTCAAGGCCGGGGACGGGGAGGGCAGGGCAGGGGAGGTGGGGTCGCTGGGGCTTCCTGACCATCCACTGCCAGAAGACCAGCTCCCGGCGCCGCCACTCCAAGGCAGCCTCCAGGCGTGCATTCTCACTCTCCAGCCTCCGCAGCAGCTGCAAACGGCAAACCATGGCCCAGTCAGATCCCATGGGCACCCGGATCCCAGCACCAAGACATCATGCACTGTGCCCACCTCTCTCTCTGGCCCCTGCGCCCAGTCACTAGCCCCACTTCCATGCGCTGCCCACGCCTGTGAGCAGCCCGTGGTCCCGCATGCCGGCCCCAACTGTGAGCCCCACAGGGTCAGGGGCTGAGTCCAGGCACTCCCTGACTCGAGACCTCGGCCCCACATCCCTTGCTAACTGGGGACTGCACCCCAGAGGCTGCGGGCAGAGGAGGAGGCCCGGGACAGGGGGGCCTGCCAGGCTGTGGGGGAGGAGGGACCTCTCCCCTGCAACCTCAGAAACCCAAAAGGCGAAGGCTGCACTGCGGCCCAGCTGGGAGGTGATGGAGAATAGGCTGGGGCATCAGGGTGGAGAGCACAGCCTCGCAACACGCAGGAGGGCAAGAAGCCCCACACCCAGGTGGCCCAGACCTGCCAGCAGTGTGCCACAAACTGCCATGCCCAGCCCGCCTGCGCCTCAGGCAGCCAGGAGCCCCGCGCAGGTGCGTGGCACAGCCAGGCTAGCCGCACGGTCCACCCGAGGCTCCACCGTGGGTTGGGGAACACCCTGACCCGGAGCAGGCACGGCTCCTCATGGAAGGCAGAGGAGCTAGGTCATCTGGGAACCCAGGAGCATGTTCGGGGGCCGGGACAACTGGCCACCCTGTCGGCCAAGCAACAGCTCTGCCAGGGCACCGCTCGGAGGGCCAGTGCATGCGCCCTGGGCTACAAAACCAGTGACACGGGGTCTCCCCTGGCCAGGGGTCTCCTCCTGCCCTTGGCTCCAGGGAACCCAGAGTGCCCGCCAGGCAGCCAGGGCCCTGCCTGTTGCAGCTGGAAGCCTGGGCCAGAGGAGGCACAGCCTTGAAGACCAGGCCAAGGGCCCGGGGAGGCAGGCCTGCAAGGAGAACTGCCCCACAGCCAGGGGCACAAGAGTCGGCTGAGACACCCCGGAGAGCGCCGCCTGCACAGGCGCACAGACGCACACCCTACATGCTGGCCAGCAAGAAGAACACTTAACTGGTTCCCAAGGCCAGTCCCACAGGGCACCCCACACTCCCCAGACCATGGGATGGGGGGGCAGGCAACAAGCACCCTTCCCACCGGGCTGTGGGCCCAGTCCCTCAGTTCTGGAGTCTCCCTAGGGTGAGGGCAGGGAGAAGACACAGGGATGGAAGGAGAAGGCTGCAGCTCAGCCAGTAACCAAGGACGCTGCCCAGCCACTCAGGAGCACGCCTGGCCACTCACACAGCAACCACAGATCATTCCAGAAGCCTCTGGGACATGGCCCAGGAGTGCAGGCCCTTCAGGTAGGCCAGTCTAGGCTCCTGCCAGCTCCCCCTCCAGAAACCGTGGAAGGAAGCCGACAATGGGTCCCGTCCACCTGGCCACCCATCTGCAGTCCTGCGGTGCCAACATGCTCGGCCTCCAGGAGGACGGGGAGCCTTCCTCGGCCCCACACACGCACCGAGGCCAGGGACACAGGCAGCACCAGGCTGGAGCTGGTGCAGCCTCTGCTCTGCTCCAACCCAGGGGGAACAGGAGCAGGATCCGGGCCTCGCTGAGTCACCCTGAAAAGGTGGACTGAGCCAAGGGCACCTCAGGACGCTCAGATGCTGCCTCAGCACTTCCAGGGCCCAGCACAGCCCTGCCCGAGTGCGGCCAGCCAGGTGTCCCCCAGGGCGCAGATTCGGCAGGCACCAAGGGCCAGGCAGGTGTCCCCAGGTGGCCACCCTAACCCCAAAGCATGGATGCAGATCCCCCAGGAGCACGCTGCGGGGATCTGCTGGGCAGGAAAGAAAGGGCCACTCCAGTCCTGAGCCTCAGCCCTCCTGCCCAGCCAAGTGCCCCTGGGCCGGGCAGCACCAGCCCCACACTCTGGACAGGCCTGAGCCCAGCCCTCGACGACAGCCAACCCTGGGCCTGTCCCAGGACCCTGGCCATGAGAGCCCAAGGGAAAGAAACAATGACAACCAATGGGTGGCCCCAGAAAAGAAGGTTGGCAGAGTGCGGGGCATGCTGGGCCAGCTTCCCCCACCTCCCAGACTCCCTCCGCCACCAGGTGACACCTGAACAGCCTCGAGGACCAACACCATCAGCTTAGACCCTCAAGCAGTCTTCCTGAATCCCAGCAGCCACCCTCAGCCAGCTGCCAGCCGGGCCCAGACACCTGTGCCCCTCGGGCCCAGCCCCATGCGCACACAGTGGCCAGTCTGGATTCCTGCATCAGTGCACAATCTGGGGGTAGGAAGGGCTCTGAGGATGTGCCTGTCCCCAACACACGCAGGATGGTGACCGTGGCAAATACCCCCAGCTCAAAGACTCAAAGACAGACCACTACAGGTCCTCCCCCTAGGCCCCTCCACACCTTGGCCCCACCAGCCCTCACCTGCCGGCCGCCCTCCGGGTCCCTGAGCAGCTCCGCTTCAGTGACAGACAGGTGGCCAAGGCTGCGGTCGCTGTGGCAGCCACGGGTGTATGAGTGGACCTGAAACAGGCAGCACAGGCCCCAGGCTGAGTGGGGCGGCGCCTTCCCAGCACTGGGCACAGCCTTCGGAGCCCACCTCACAGACAAGGAAACGGGCCACACCTTGCCGAGGCAGTGCAGGGCAGGACAGGCCCAGGCTCAGGACAGTCCTCGGCAATGCTGGGGACCAGCCCCGAGCCCAGGGCAGGCAGGCAGCCCTGCCTGTGGCCTCTCCACCCACCCAGCTCCGGGGGTACAGTGGGGGCAGGGTGGGGCACCCTGCTCCCCGCCTCAGCTCCAGTGCCAGGCCCGTACAGCGCGAGAAATAGCCTCTGGACAGGCCAAACGCGGGGCCACGGAGCAACTGTGTGGGTCTCGGGGGCAGGGAGGGCTCCTTAGCAAGGTGAGGCCCCAAAGCAGATGGGCGGTGGTTAACAGGTGGCACTGGCCCAAGCAGGAGAAGCAGCTGGGATCAAGGCTGGGCAAGAGGGAATAGGGGGTCCCAGAACAGGCCAGCTGAACAAAAGACCCTCTGCCTGGAGCAAGGGTGTAAGGTGGGGGTCTGCACACCATGGAGCCCTGTGCTGGTGGGAGCCCACAGCCAACTGCCCAGCCACCTCTCAGCCCAGACCCTCCACAAGGAGGACACCTGTGCCCTGGAGCTGAGTCCTATTGACCTTCAGGAGCCCTACAGGAAGTGTCCACCACCCACAGCAGCCCACACCCGGGGTGTGGTGGGAGGGGAGCCCAGGCGGCAATGGCTTCCCCAGGAACTGGAGCCCACATCACTGCTCAGTGACACACAGCCTCGGGCCTATGGGGACTTCTGGGGACTGGAAGGCCAATCTCGCAGGCTCCTTGCCCCTCTGGCTCCCTGCCCCAGTGATGCCCAGCTCCATCTGTCCTAGGCCTCCTCTTGGGCCACCTGGAGCTCCAGGATCAGGCCCCAAGTGACCCCAGGGCAGTACCCAACCAGTCAGCCCCCTGCCAGGCCTAGGAAGGCCCACATCCAGCCAAAGGCCAGGCCCCAGCTCGCGCTGGGCCTCACTGGGCAGGCCACGGGCAGGGAGAGGGGCCAAGCTTGCCGCAGGGAGAGGCAGCGTGACATCCTGGAGCACAGGGGGACAACTGCCCCTGGGAGGACAACGCGCAGGCAGCACTACCTTGCCCAGGAGGGCGCAATGCTCCTGCTGACTGGTGATCAGGTTTCGCCACCCGAACCGCAGCTTTCCCATGAGCCACTGCAGGTGGCGGATGTCCACACAGCCATCTGCTTCCACACGGGGTGCAGGTGGGCCAGGGCTGGCCAGGACCTCACACTGGAGAGGGGGCAAAGGTCAGGCCCTGCTCGCACACCCCAGCAGAGACCCCCAAGGGGGAAGGAGAAAGGAGGCCCCAGGGAGTGAGAGCCGTGGATCCAGGAGTACCAGAGGGACAGTCACCTCACCCTGCCCTGAGGAGGGGGGGCAGGGGAGGTGGGAGCAAGGACCAGGGCAGGGAGGCCAACGGAGGCCCAGTCTCCAGCCAGGATGGCATTACTAACCCCCAAAGGGTGGCCCTGAAGGCTGGCCCAGGCCTGTCCTCACGGTCCATCAGGTGGCAGCCAGGCTCCCGGCCAGGGCTGGGCCCTGCTCACCCTCACCTCACACCCACCTCGCACACGGGCATCTCATCACCCAGCCGCACACGGATCTGGGCCAGCAGCCGCTCGAGCAGGGGCCCGCGGGCCAGGAGCCAGGACAGGGCCAGCAGCAGCTCGCGGCTGCCCTGGGAGCCGTCCTCGGGGAGCTGAACCAGCGCACGCCTAGGGTAGCCCTGGGAGCGCAACGCGGACTTCACCAGGCGCGCTTGGGCTTCTGGGGGTAGAAGATCGTCAGCTCAGGGGACCACCCATTGGAAGTGACATCACCTAGACCCCTAAGGGACCCCCGCACCACCCCAGAGACCAAGCTTAGAAGTGACAGTAGGGGGTTGGGACTTAAACAAAAGCGGGAGCCCAGGACTAACTCGCGCCAGGGCTTTATGGGGTACGCCGGACCCAAGCCTGCGCAGGGACGGGACTTACTGGAGGAAGCAGGGCTAAGAGCTGAGGGTCTTGCGTGGGTGGGCGGGGCGGAGCCTACAAGGGGAGGGAATCGTGTGGAAAGCAGGAACTGTGGGGCCTATGCGGCCCGGTCTTACCAGGAAGCGGGGCTTTGCTTTGGTGGGCGGGGCCAGAGTCTACTGGGGTCGGGGCTATAGGGTGGGAAGTACCCGAGCCTACAAGGGGCAGGACTTACCGAGTAAATTGGGTGCGGGGACCGAGGGAGGGTGGGGGCGTGCATGGGTGGGGCGGGGCGGACCCTACCGGGGGCGGGGCTTACGGAGCGGGCGGGACCTGAGCCTGAGAGGGCGGGACTTACAGCAAGAAGCAGGGCTAACGGGGACGGGGCTTGCAAGGGGGGCGGGGACAGAGCCAACAAGGGGTGGGAATAGCCGGGAAGGCCGGGCCTATGGGGGCGGGCCTTCCCGGGAGGCGGGGCTTACCCGGGGTGGGCAAGGCGGCGGCGTCGTCTGCCGGCCGCGGCGAGAGCACGTGGAAGAGCAGCCTCCAGAGCGCCGGGGCCTGCGGAGATCAAAGAGCGGCGGTCAGCGGGGCCGGCCGCCTCCCTCCGCCGGGGCCGCCGCAGGCCCGGCCGCCTGCCCGCGGGCCTCACCGCCTCCGGACGGTCGAACTTGGCGCGGCGGAAGGTCTCGGCGCTGGGCCCGCCAGGCAGCGCCCGACTCAGCGCGGTGATGGCTGCGGGCAGGGCCCCGGCGGCGTCCGCCGGGTCCACGCGGCGCCGCCGCCGCCCCATGCAGCCTGCCCCAGCCTCGCTCGGATCGCGCGCCGCCGCCGCCGCTGCCTTGTCCCGCGCCCAATCCCCGCGCGGCCGGGACGCGCCTCCGACCCCGGCCAATGAGCGGCGCCCGGGCGTTTGAGTGCCGTCCGCTCCGTCCGGTGCGGAGACACTTCCGGTGCGACGCGGGCCAATCGGCGCGGAGAGCTCCGCGGGGTCCGCCCTCTGCGGCTCAATCGCGGCTTCGCCCGACACCCGCCTGGTCCGGACTCCGCCAATCAGCGCCTCACCCCCTCGCACCAGACGTCCGCCTAGCAACCGCGGGAAGGTCTGCGGCCGCGCTCAGGGCGCCCCCTGCGGCCGGGAGGGCCGCGCAGCCGGGCGCCACCGACCCGCGACGGCGACCTCGGCCTCCGCGAAGCCCTCTCCGCTCGGCCGCCAGGGGGCGCCCAGAGCGCGCGCCAGGGCCGGGACGGGGACGCCCCTGAAAGCTCGGCCCCGTGGCGCGCGCTCGGGCTCCTCCCGGAAGGTCGGCGACTCTCTCTGCACCCCAAACCTACGTCTACAGACCCCCGGCCCGGCCCCTCCCCGTGCATCCTCTGCCGGGCCAGCCCCCCCACCCGCCTCCCTCTGTCCCCCCTCTCCTTCCATCCTCTGCCCGGCCAGCCCCCCAACCCCGCCTCCCTCTGTCACCCCTCCCCGTCCATCCTCTGCCCCGCCAGCCCCCCCACCCCGCCTCCCTCTGTCCCCCCTCCCCGTGCATCCTCTCCCCGGCCAGCCCTCTTGGGGCTCCCTCTGTCCTGTACCTTCAGCCCTCCTTCCTGAGTTGAAGGAACATGAGCACAGCTCCTTTGGGAAGTAGCCTGGCGGCTCTTTCAGAGTTACACGTAAGTTTACCGCCAGACCCAACAATGCCAGTGCCGGGACCGTGAGATCTAGGGTCACGTACATGGAAGTTCATACAGCTTTGTCCTAAACCGTCCAAAAGGCCCCGCTGTGCCGTGAGCCACAGGATGGAGGGCTGGTGGGCAGTAACAGGAACACCACGGACTCGTTCAGCATGAGTGACCTCAGACGTGAAAGAGCCCGATGAAACCCTATATTGTATGTGTGCCTACGTACTTGTATGTGTGCTGTATACTGTACGTGTGTGAAACACCCAGAGGAGCCAGTGTGGAGACAGGAGGCAGAGCAGAGGTGGCCGGGGGAGAGACTCAGCCTGGGAGCCCTGGCACATGGCAGGAGGGGATTTCTGTGGGTGAGAATGGTCTAGAGCTGGATTGTGCTGACGGCCACAGAACTCTGTGAACTGGTTAAATCACTGCATGTGAATGTGCTGGGGTGAATTTTACGGAATGTAAATTATACCTCAATAGACTATAAAGAAGAGAGCTGGGGGGGAGGAGGAGGGAGAGAGGGAATGAAAAAGGCTCAGTCCTTGCTGAGCTCCTAGCCCGCCCCAAACAACCCCACAGCCTTGGCCAGGCCCACAGGAAGTGCGGTCCCCCATCCCCCATCTTCCTCCCGGTCCTCACCTCCGCTGCCTCCCTCTCAGGCACAGCCAGCTCCTCACCCTGTGTGTCGCCCACAACCGACCCCTTCTCCAGACCTTGGCCTCCACCCCAGGCACCCCCACCCCACCCCACTGAGCTCAGTGGCTGCCCTTGCCAGCCCCATGCCCCACTCACCTCCCCAGCCAGCAGAGGGCATTGCTGCCTGCTCCCCCGGCCCCCACCTTCAGTCCCCTCCAGGGTCCACCTTCAACTGGGGCTGGGACCAGCACTGGCCGCCAGTCTAGCCCCGCCTTCTGCCTCCACAGCCCAGAGGCCTTTCTGGCCACCCTGCTAATGCTTTCATAGCGCCTTGCAGCCTCCACAGTCCTTACACCACCCGCCCACCTGCCGTGGCTCTGGAACCCACTGAGCCTGTTCCCTCTATGGCCCTTTGCACCTTCTGGGCCTCCCGGCTGGGTCCTCTTCTTCCCACCTGAGGCCACATGGACCTGCTTCCTGCAGGCGTCAGCTCTCTAAGTACACACCCAAGTCTGCCCCCACCTGGACGAGTCTGCCCCTACCTGGAAGGGAGCTGTGCGGTCGGGGAGGGGCCAGCAGCTCAGGGCGGATTTCCCTGTGCACCCACTCCCCACTCTGTGCCCCCTCTGGCCACAAGGCATTGCTGAGTCTCAAAGCCCCCAGTCCCCTGGCCTCCAAAGGACACCTCCACCCCAGCCCCACCCCCCACTGTCCACTGGGAAACGCAGCCTCACCTCAGCATCCTCTGCCCCCTCCTCCCCGCCCCCATCCCATAAGCACTCCAGCTCCCACCTCAGTGAAATTCCATGAATCACCCAATCACACACACACACACACACACACACACACCTGGCCCTACACGCCACCCTTGAGCCTCCACAGTCTGGCCAGCACGGGCCTGCAGTAGCCCCAGCGAAGCCCTGGGCAGGGCCGAGGCTGACATGCCCCCTCCGGGCTCTTTAGGTCAGCAGAGTTCTGGGAAGGGGGGCCGTGTGCTGGGGCCAGAGTGCCGGGGGCCAGTGGGGGGAACAGGGAGGGCTCTGAGGGTGGCCAGGTCTGTAGCTGCTACGTGAACTGACTTGGGAGTTTCCAGAAAGCCCTCCAACCATGGTTGCACAGCTAGGCCTCAACTTCCCCATTGGGGCAGCTGGCCACTGGGTAGTCCTTGGGGCACAGGGGAGGGACAAATGAGGGGCAACGGGGTCCAGTGGACACCCCTGCAGAAACACAGCTGGCCTGGTCAGGGTAGGGGTGGGTGGGGAATGGGGATGGGGTGGGGCAGCAGGAAGTGGGGAGGGCAGGCGAGGACGCCCCACCACAGCTCCCCCAAAGCTGCTTGAAAAGGGAACCAGCATGAGCTCAGCTGATTCGCCCTGCCCCTGGAGGGCTGGGGCATCTGTGGGTCTGGGAGCTGGAGAGCTGAGCCTCCGTGGGAACGTCCAGGGTGTCCAGCCGCTTGCCTTGCAGCCCCCACCCCCACCCCACAGCCCCCCAGGGCAGTGGGCAGCAAGGCCACCACAGCAGAAGGAGCAGGCACCAGACCGCAGCTCCCCAAGACCACCCCTGGTGACACACACACGCAGGCCTTCAGAGTGTTGGCGTTTATTGAGGGCCTGAGGGTCTCCAGGGGAACCCTGGCGCCTGGGTGTAAGGCCAGGCAGGCATCAGGCTGGAGGGGCAGTGCCCGCAGGTGGCCAGGGATGTGGTCTCCACAGCCTGCAGAGAGAGACCGGACAGAGGTGAGTGCGGCCGGCCGGAGAGCAGTCAGACCTCACTCCCCAGGGCGGGCGGGATTTGGGCAATGGGGGCGTACCTGGGTCTACTTGAAAGTGTGGCTCTCAGCTCCTCCGCGCCCAAAGCCTGCAGAGACAATGCTGGGCAGTTAGGAGCGGCCAGGGGCTGGGTCGGGGGTGTGGGGAGTGGGGTCAGGGTGTGGGGAGTGGGGTCGGGGGAGTGGGGAGCATACCTTTGGGCCCAAACATGGCCGCGTAGCAGGGGTGGTTGCAATAGGGCTTGCCTTCATGCTGCAGATAGAAGGACCATGAGGGGCTGTCACCCCCCACCTGGCACCCTTGCCACCCTCGAGGCCCCCCCTACCTCGGCGTGGCCCCCTGAGGTCAGCGTCTTTCCACATTTCTCACACTTCAGGCAAGGCCGGTGCCAGTCCTTCCCCAGGGAGGTCACCCGCTCAGCTGCAGAGGCAGAGAAGGTCCCCATGAGACACTGCTCTGAGGACACAGGGCGCACCCATTCACTCACACATCACCTTCTCCAGCCAGCTTTGCGCAAGGCCTGGCCCACTCACACCTGGTGGCCCAGCCAAGGCCTCAGCAGGCCCCTGTGCCCCATGGGTGCCCTCAGCCAACCTGGCCACACAAACGGTAGGGGCGCCGGCCCTGGAGGAGGAGGAGGAAGAGGGCCCCAGGGCCAGGAGGGCCTGGCCTGGCTGCCGCGTTGGGCAGTCAGCCTCTGTACGGCTGACGGGTGCGGCCTGCCGGGCGTCCTTCTCCGTGGCGGGGACCGCGGGATTTCTCACTTCCGCCTGTCTGTCCCGTGGGGGCGCCCCGGGGCGCAGGGCAGGAGGGCGGCGCCCAGGATCAGAGCGCGCCTGGGATCGCGCCCGGGGCGCGGGTTTCCGCGTCTGTTTCTACTTAGCGCTGGGAGGGGCGGCCAGAGCCCCGCGCTCCTTCCTGCCCCGCGGGGTGCCCGCCCAGGGCACGCCCGACAAAAGGCAGGAGAGCGGGACCCAGAGACGGGGAGACTCAGAGTCGGGGAGACCCAGAGACGGGAAGATCAGAGACGGGGGAGATCCAGAGGGACCGAGGGAGAGAGACCGAGGGCAGAGAGACGCCGAATCCGCGGAGCTGGAGGGCCATCAGACGCTGGGGTTCCGACCTCACACCCAGGCGGCTGCGGGCAGGGCGGAGGTGTCTGTTTCCCGGGCGGAGCTCCAGAGTCCCCGGCGGCCCCCGCCCACCTGAGCGGCCCGGCTGGGTCGCCCGTGGGCGTGCTTTCGCGTGGGGCCGCGCGGTGCGCCGCGGTTTGGGCCGGAGGGGTCAGGGTGGTCGGGGCCGCGCTCACCGAAGTACACCTCCTTGGAGCACTTGGGGCACTTGGGCATGACGGCGGCGGTCCGGGACGGGCGGCTTGGCGGGAGCAGATGGGAGCGCCGAACTGGGTGGGTCCCGCCGGGTTGGAGCCTTTCAGGGACCCCGGGACCCCGCCCCTTTGAGACCCGCCCCTCGCGCCCCGCCTCCTTAGTCCTGGACTTGGACCCGGGGACCTCGGTTCCAGGTCAACCGGCCCAGAAAGGTCATCTGACCCATTCCCTCCTCCAGGCACAACCCGGGCCTAGCCGACGACCCAGTGGGGGCTCGGGGGGTGCAGGGGATCTGGGAACTCACTGAAGGCGCGGGGCTCTTCCGGGGGCTCCAGCCCCGCCCCTCGCCCGGGGCTCTGCAGTCGCGGAGCCCAGGGGTCGGGTCAGGGGGCTCCCCAGGAGCAGGAAGGCGCACCGCACCCCAGCCCCATCCCTCGGGCAACGGCTGGAGCCCCTAGATATGCCGGAACCGGGGAGGGGACGGTCACCTCCAGATGCAAATAGACGCAACTAGCTCGCGAGAACCTCTCACACACGTCAACCTGGCCCTCTCCAGATAGAGGGCTGGGGACACCTGCCGGGGGAGTCAGCCTGGTACTTCGCCAAGGACTCTCCTCCGGCCTTCATCACTCTCGGGACTAGGAGGCCCGCCCCACCCGCAGCCCGCGGGACGTCCCGGCCTCTGCGACGCCTGCCCCCGCACCGCTCCCCGGGAAGTCCATCGGCCGCAGCGGGAATGTCCCGGGGAATTCGGAAGGGGGGACTCCGAGACGGGGCGCCCCCTCCCTCGGCGGGGCCCGGCTGCTGCGGGGGCCGGGGGCTATGCCGGGGAAGGGGGTGCGCCGCGCCCAGCCGTCTCCGGCGCCCGGCCGGCGGGGGAGGAGCCTTATCTCTGCGGGAAGCGCCGGAGCGAGGCCGAGGCGGGGGCAGCCCAAGTCCAGGGCCCAGGAGAGCGGGCTGCGCCTCCCCGTGCCGGGCGGAGACCGTCCGACCCGCCGCCCGCAGCGGGAGGGCCCTGGGGCTGGAGAGCGTGGGCTGCGGGGTCCCGGCCATCCTCTGCTGGCCAACAGGGAAGTGTGCAGCCTGGCCGGGAGGGGGTGTCCGGGCCTTCTATCGGCTCCTCGACCCAGGCCTCGGCTTCTATGCCCCCTCGGGAAATCCCTGCCCTGTAGGGTACTGCTAGGCCTAAGCCACCTCCCTCCTGGTCACTGTCACCCAGGCCACCTCCCTCTCTCTCTGTTGAGGGGAGAGGCTGCCCCTTTCTCTGTTGGCCCTTTGCCCCTCTGCTCCTTGGGTCCCTGTGCCACACCCAGTTTCTTGGCTTCACCAGCACTTAAGCGCCCAGCCCTCTCTCCATCCAGCACATCAGCACCTCCTGCCCTTCCTCCTCTCTGTCCTGGTCCCTCCCTCCAACCACCACTGTTACCAGCACCCTCATCTCCCTTCAACACACCCAGTTCACCAAACAAAACATCTTCCCAACTGTCCAGGTCCCATCCCCAGGTGGGATGCTGGACACCATCCTCCAACAGGGCCCAGGAGCTGCTGGCCTCCCCACACAGACGCTCGGCCCCGACAGCACCCAGTGACCCCGAATTCACCCTCCCTGAAGCCCACCTACCCACCATTAGGCCCCTGTGAGGGCCGGGCACTGGGAGAGGGAAGAGAAACTACGGCTGTCTCAACCTCAACCTTCCCCACCACCAGACTGCCCTCTGTGGCCCCCACGAGGCCCAGCTTGGGGTGAGGGGGGAGCTCCTAGGGTTCAAGGTGGACAGATGCCACCACCAGTCTCCTCTCTCAATGAGGACAGCACACTAGACCCCACACCCCTACACCTGCTCCCCACGCCTCTCTCCAGTCACTCCCTCCTCCCTGGGGCCCCCTCTCTGAGGCCACAGTTTTGCCCCCCCACTGAAGTTCTGCAAGCCCTGGGGTCCACAAGGCTCCCACTCCATCCTGGAACCCCTCAGTGGCTGGCTGCCCACTGCCCTTGGGAGTGAGGGTGCACACCCTGCAATGGTGGAACCCCCACTCTCCCACCCATCAACCCTGGCCTGCTGGCCTGCTCTGGCCCTGGAGCTTCGATACCCTCTCCTCCTGGCACAGGGCACCTCAGTGTGGTTTCTGGAGCTGAGGCCACCAGCCCAACCTCCCCCACGGCCCCCACCCATCCCCTGGTGTCTTCTTGGCCTGTGCCTGATGCAGCTTCGGCCAGGCCGAGAACAGGAGGGCGGGTCCTGACTTCTCTCATGTCCTGGCTCCATGACCCAGAGAGGCGGGGATGAGAGAGGACAGGGGAGCAAGAGAGGAGGGAGACACAGACACAGCCAGGGACAGAAATGCAGACGGGCAGAGAGAGGCAGAGACAGGAGAGGAGGAGAGGGGCCAAAACCACTGGTGATGGACAGGAGGTGGGGGCAGGGCCCAACACGGTCTGAGGGAGGAGGGGGTCTGTCACAGTGGGTTCTGGGGCTCAGGCCACACACACTGGACACACCACCTTGCAGCTCCCTGAGAAGGCTGCCCACGTGGGTGTGCTGGGCAGAGGCCACAGGCGCCAGGGCGGGGCTGCCTCCACCTCCACCGGGATGATGAGCACCATGGGTACAGGGAGCAACAGGGTGCAGAGATGGTACACGTGTGTGTCCGGTGACTATGGGTGTGGCTGTGAGGGGTGTGCCTGCAGGCATACTTGTCCGTGGGTGTGTCCTGCTGGGTACCTCTGGGGGGTGCACACAGCACCTCTCAGATGAGCTGCCTTGCCCCCATGTGTCTATCCAGCCCACATCCCCAGCCCCCTGGGGACTCCTGGGCAGAGGGGCAGTGAGCTCATCCTCCCCTCCACCCGTCAGGCCCTAGGGATGGTCCCAGCCCCATACAGCGACTCCAACCCCGCCCTGCCCCGGGGCGCCCCCCCCCCCCAAAACCGGGGTAATGAGTCCTTTCCTGGCTTTCTCTGCTGTTATTGCTCGTTGCCATGGTCATGGGTGGTGGCAGGGGGGGCAGGAGGGGGGCCAAGGGCCATGGGCCTTGCCCTCTGGTTGGTACACAGCACAGTTTTTCCAAGCACTTGACTCAGAAACACACACACACACTCCCCAGAGTCCTCCCAAAGCCTCAGCCACAGACCAGCGTGCCCCCTCCAACTCACCTGAGCTCCCCACCCATCCTGCCAGCCCGTGAGGGTGCAGCCCCTCGTCAGGGGCAGCCCCCCAGCTCCTGGGGGCTGTGGTGGGTGGACAGCTCCTGCCTCCCCCAACTCTATGTCCACACACACTCCCATTTGAGGCTGGGCCCCAGTCAGGGCCCTGACAGTGTCTCCCGAGACCCTGGCCCCCACCAGGGGCAAGGCCTCCTGCCTCCATCCGCTCATCTGGCCCAGGGTCAACCTGACTCTGGACCACAGGGCCAGCTCAAGACTCAAACCTGCCCTGCCCGGCCCTTCACCCTTCACCCTACTCTTTTGGGGCACTGCCAGCATTTGTTGCAGGAACAGATGGAAGACACAGGGAACCCCCTCGCACACCTCTAGGTGCGCCCCCGACCTTATCCCCCAGTGCGGCCAGCACCAGGCCCTGTGCTGTTCTCCCTCCCGGCACTGGCCAGCGAGCACCAGGGCTGCATCTGAGCATGAGAACAGAGTGTCCAGGACAGGGAAGCAGAGCAACCCGGCTGCTTGCCCCAGGCTGCCTCTGTGCCCAGAACATCCTGCCCCACACCAGGACAGAATGAGGGCACCCAGGGCCCTGAGATCCCAGAGAGGCTGCTGTGGGGTTCTGGGGGCAGCTTACCCTTCCTTCTGACACCCCACGCCCTCCCTGCTCATGCTTTGCCCAGGCTCAGCTGGGGACCCAGATGGACCCCAGGCGGGCCCCTGCCCTGCAGGAGAATTCTGTGCGGCCCATGCAGACACCAGGAAAACCGGTGAAGTCAAGGCAGGGCTCCAGTGACCGCTGAGGAATCCGCCTCCAGGGGCCGGCCACCAGCCTCCACTGGGAAAATTCTGTTTCTCTGGGCTGGACAGCCCCCCTGCACCCCCTCCCTCCATAGACTGTGGCACTCTCCTCTGGCTTGTCCTCACCACCCTTGAAGCCCCCACTCAACACCCAGGCAGGCCTCCAGGCCCCCTCCTCAGTGTGGACGAGCCAAGGGGAGTGGACAGGTGTAGGATGTCCCCTCCTAGGGCTAGAGGCCAGTGGGGCCTGTCCTGTGTTCATGCACACACTCAGGTGCCCTGCTTGGCCGAATGGTGCTCCAGGACAACTGCTGAGCCCAGACCAGAGCTGCTCCCTCCCCAGGGTCCAGCCTCCCTGCCCCTCCCCAGGCCAGCTGAGTCATGGACACTCAGCCATTCCCAGGGCCTATTTTCAGCAGCTTCTCTCCCGGGACCCCCTGCCTGCCCTGAGGTCGGTCCCCAGGGTGGGCCTGCTGGGCCTGATGGCCCCTACTGGCCCTGTGGCAGGGAGACGTGACCAGACGCCCAGACGCTGCGCTTTCCCCAAAGGGCTCTGCTCCTGTCCACAGGCCTCAACACAGCGTCCCCCCAGCCCAGGTGGGAGGGCAGGGCAGTTCCACCGCCTCCTGAAGCAGGAGTGGCATGCTGAGGGGGTGGGGAGGAGGCATGGGGGCACATACAACCTCCAGCTCCTTCAACCAGGCATAGTCTGGCCAGAAGGGGCGCCCTTGTCCCCCCCAAGACTGAAGGAATCTCCGTCCTGGAGCCAAAGCCTACGCAGAAGCCCCTCCACTTCCAGGCTCGCCAGTCCAGCAGCTGGGCCTGTTCATGGGCCCCAGCCAGCCAGGCCCCGGGAAAGTGTGCTGGCCACCCTGGTCTCCCCCCAGTCCTCGCTGGGCCCAGCCCCCAGCTACCCAGAGCCAGGGTCACTGGCACTCGGTCACTTCATGATGCTTATCCCTCAGGCCACAGCCAGCGGCCAGGGAGCTGAGCGCTTGGACCCAGGGACAGGAGGGAGTCACGCCTCTCCTAGTCCTAAAGAAGTTCAGGGAGGCTAGCCTCAGCTGGGGGGAGAGGTCCACAGGGAGCCTCCAGCCCGGGAGGGGCTGCCCAGGGCTGACACTGGGGGTCACCCGCCCAGGGGAGGCTGGGCAGGGCTGGGAAGGAGAGGTGC